CAATCAATCAATCAATCAATCAATCAATCAATCAATCAATCAATCAATCAATCAATCAATCAATCAATCAATCAATCAATCAATCAATCAATCAATCACCTTTATTTAACCAGATAGAGCCCATTGAGATCAGGTGACCTGGTCAAGAGGTCAGCAGCACACGTCACAGGGTAGTTGAGACAAACGTTACATTGTAGAAAAGAAAATATACATAAAATACAGTAACATTAAACAGATTTAAACAGTCTAGATGAGTCAAAGTAGTAAACTAGGCTTAATGAAATGATATTTGAGAGTTAAATTACTAAGTTTAGGTAGAGTACAGACTGAAAACAAGTTGCAGTCGATCAAGAAACCGCAGTATTTATAAGTGAAAACTATCTTTTTGTTTTCGCTGTTGGGTTTCAGTTTGTAGTGGGCTCTCTGGTTGCTCTCTTCTATTAGATAAAACCATTATTTTGGTTTTGTCTGTATCTAAGACCAGTGTAATTTTTGAAGACGTGACTGAATGAAATTACAGTTTTGGGGGCTCGTCCGGGATATTTTTGGACACATTCAGAAGAAGACATAACATAGCAAACATAGGTGCTCTGGGTCATGCAGCCACTGACCCTGAACAAAACTGCACAAAGCAAAGATCATCTTTATGAAGACATCATTACACCATTACTTGAGTATAAGAGAACAACACAGGTCTGCAGACTGACTGCAAATTGAAAAATTCTGTGAAGAAGTGTCAAACAGGTGCTTTCAGTGATTTCAAACTGATCAGGGAGTGTCTGAGAGCTCGGAGCAGATGGTTTCTGTTCTGTAACCACAGCTAAAACAGAGTTAGGACTTCTTGAAAGACATCTGCGTTAACTGTTTTGCAAAAGTGTGGAAAACTGTGCCAATCCAATGAGAATGGGTTAACGCATTTACAAGAGGTGTCTTCTGCTTTCTGCCCTGCTGAGCTGGTGATGATGAAGACTGAGAGGTTCCCAGTTCCTTCAAACAGGTCAAACCAGTCAACAAAAACTGTAAAAGTGTCCTGAAGAAAGATGAAAGCTTGCCTGAGGGAGGATGAACAGATTGCTGCACAAATCTTTGATATATATTGAGTTATGAGCTTTACTGCGACAGTTTCAGCAGTTTTGCAACTTGTGTTTTAGAAAAACAAAATGTTTTTAGAGTTATGAGAAAATGTGTGTATGGTTTTGGCAAAAGTTTTATTAAATATGTTTAGAGAACTGGGTTTTGAGTTTGAGCAAAAAAAAAAACTGTAACAAACGAACAGCGACATCTTGTGACTGAATGAAGAATTACAAATAAACTTTATTTGAAGGTTTAAAACACTTTGTTACGTAAATTAGCAGTTAGCACAGTTCATATTCTTTGAAACCAGTTATTTAACATCACTAGAGTAAAAGTTTAATCATAAATAAATAGTATTTTTATACTTTAACTCATAATTACTCAAAAATATGGAGGCCGAGAGTGGATGTTTTCAACATATATTTATTTTCCATGTTTTTTTTGGGATAATACGACGAGACACAAAATGAGATTTTTTTTAAATTGCGAGAATAAAGTCATAATATTATGAGTAAAGTTGTAATATTACGAGATTAAAGTCGTAATATTATGAGAAAAAAGTCGAATGTTGAACAATCTTTTCATTAGCATCAAATTATCAGTGAAAGGACTTGGAAATTATGTAAACAACTAAATGATGAACTGAAGCTGTAATTAATGGATGCATTGACAGGTTGAGTCATCATGCAGCTAATTTGGATGAAATCACATTAATTTAACAGTGATCCAAGTCATCATGGACGACTTTATAAACACAGACACATGGCTGCACGGCAGCTGTGGAAAATAAGGAGGAAATGAGTAACAGAGAATAGACATGTCATCTAAGATTATTACTTTTTTATCATAATATTACGACTTTAATCTTGTAATATTATGACATTATCCTGGTAATAATAATTTAAATGAATCTCGTAGTGTGGTTCTAACACTTTGTCGTATAAGGACATAATATGGAGGAGTTTTCTCAGCAGGCGTTTACTCACTGATCTTGATGAAATGATAAATTTTATCAGTCAGCAGCTGAGGGGATCAGGTCATCTTCATGTTACTGAGTGAGACACAAGAAAACCACAAGTCATTGTCTCGAGAAAACACTCCTCATCAGAAAACCACGGGAAAAACATTATAAGCTGAAAACGTCAGCTCTCGGCTTCCGTACAAAAACCGTTTTTTAATGTCTATCAAGCAGAGTTGTAAAGTAACTAAGTGCAAAAACTTTGTTACTGTACTTAAGTGGAAATTTGGGTTATTTGTACTTTACTTAATTATTTTTTAGCGTACTTTTTACTCATTACATTTTTACACAATTACCTGTACTTTCTGCTCACTACATTTTTTAAAAAGGTAAGAAGTATAAAGTTGTTACTCCTGTTTTATTCTGAGTTGTTACTTAATAAAATCCTCTCCTGATAAACTGTGTCTCCTATAGAGTGAATTTAATTGTGTTTGGATGAGAAGTATAAATATATACCATTCTGACACACTATTAGCTTGTACACACCTCTTAAATGTGTTTATTTTGTTGTATTGAATCACAAATTTAACGAAGGATATATAAAATATTTTTGTATTAAAATAAAAAAATGTATTTATTGTTTTGTGAATTTGACCTGTGGTTTCAGGTCATCTCAGTTTAAGGAAGTTGGACTTTTAGACAGAACATTTTGCAGAAATGTCTGGGTTTGTGTTGTGTGTTTGTGCACTTCCTGTTTCAGTTTGTGTTGTGTGTTTGTGCACTTCCTGTTTCAGTTTGTGTTGTGTG